TGAACATTATATTCAGTAGCATATTATCTTGGCAAAGGTTTTTACGGTCGTAAGTAATAGTAACATCTGCTAATTTTTTAAGAGAAATAAGTTCTATTTTCATGCTAATAGTACATATATTACTATACTAAAGTATCCTTTAATCTTATGAAATTAATCATTTCAAGTGAAAAGTTATAATTAAAAAAAATTAACAAGAAAATAATATTATTTTTATTTATATACAATAAAATAAATAGTAGGACAAACATGTAAAAACATATGAAATATTTAAGGTAAAATAAAATAAATATTATCTTTAAATCATAATATATTATAAAACTAAAATTGTAGCTAATTATAACTATAACTATAGAAATAATATATTAATATTATAAAATATAAATTATGTACTAATAATATTAATCTAATGTGTTCAAATAAATAAGTTAATTAATGTGTACAAATAAATAAGTTAATGATTTATATCATTTTTTTTTAAATATAACATATAGTGTATAATAAATCTTATTAGTTATTTTTAGTTTACAATATTATTACTTTTTAAATATCTCCACAACGCGCATATACTAGTTCAAATTAATTACTTAAATTTCAAAAACTTATCCGTTTGGATATTGATTTGGATAACCACCATTTCAAAAATAAAGTCAGAAAGGGAAATCTAAGGAGTTACGTTATTTTTTATTTTGTTAGTTAAATTAAAAGAATATAAAAATGTATAGTTTAAGTAAAAAGTTTGAACTAATTGAATATCCAAGCATATACATATGTTAGTGAAACTGTTTATTTATTTTTTTAAAACCAAATCCCAATTTTTGGGTGTTGACAGTTGACTTTAATTGAATAATTACATTTTAAAATCAAATTTTGAAGAACCGAAAGATGTATTTTTTTAGTAATTGCTAATATGTCTTTTATTAAAAAAAAATCTTATTTTTTATTTTTTTAAAAATAAACTTTTTAATACATAAATATTGAGATTAATTATGGCGCTGACATGTGGCATTTTTTCCTCTCATATTATATATAGATAGATTAAAAGAATATAAAAATGTATAGTTTAAGTAAAAAGTTTGAACTAATTGAATACCCAAGAATATACATATGTTAATTCTGGTGCTGACATGTGGCATTTTTTCCCTCCCCTATTATATATAGATAGATTATTAATTCAGATTTGTAATTTTTCATAGAAGAAAATAATAGTTTATATCTTTATCAACGACAATGATTAGATGTCGAGAAATTTACCAATTTTTAGCTAATATAATAATAATAATGGGTAAATTACTTTTATGACTATTATAAGGTTTATCATTATTTTTAGTACTTACACTTATTACTTTAATACTATATTTAATCTCTAGTTATTTATACAATGTAAAAAAAAGAGTAGAGAAATTAAATATGCAAAGATTTACCTTCTCGCGAGTTGTAGGAATAATTATAGCCTTAGACAAAAATTGTTGAGAAATTTTTGTTTTGCACCGAAAAAAACTGAAGAAAAGATGGTGGAACACTACACTGTTGAAGAATACGTTTAAATCTAGGGGAAATAGAGAAGTTAAGAAAGTCGTTGAGGAATTTTTGGAGTCTTTATCTTCTTTTGATTGGTTTCTCTTTTAACTGACTTATTCATTACTTATTATATTTTTTTCAAGTTTCTTATTTTATATTTCTTCGTATTTGTCAATTGACATTTGTTGAAAAAGTTTTTACCATTATAATTTTAAAACAGTTTCATCTTAAATTCAATTTTTTTTTGCATATATATATATTTAAAAAGATAATTGCATTTACATATATTTAAAACTGACCACACTAATTAAAAAAATAATTACAATAACAAATAAAAAAAATATTAATTAATTAATTTAACAATTGTAGGAGAGAAAAACTAATCTTGTAATTGTTATTAAAAAGGTAAAAATAAACGTGATTCAATTTTAGTTATATCCTCTTTTTATGAGTTTGCGTTTATCCATTTTAAAATACAAATTGAAAAACAGATTTCATGGAAACTTACTGATTTGCAATTCAAATATATTATTATCCAAATTATTACTATATTATTATATATTATATATTATATTATTAGTATTATTATCATTATCATCATTATTATTATTATTATTATTAATTAACACTTTGCCTTTAGTATTTAAATTGTATTACAAAAGAGGAAATTTTAAAATTAAAATTTAAAACAGTAACAAATTTTACATAGAATTATTTAGTTAATTAATCTTTTTTATTTATTTTTGGTGAATTTAAGGTTCATGTTCAAACGATTTTTAAATTATTTAGAAATATAGAATTATTTAGTTGGTTACTTTTTTTATTTCTTTTTGGTTAATTTAAGTTACAAAAAGATTTTTAAATTAGTTTTTAAATTTTAAAATTGTTGAATTTTTGTAGTGCTGACATGTGGCACTTTTTACTTCTCCTATATATTATAGATATATAATTTTATGATTAATCAATCTTCAATCATTTACCTACTAACTCCTCAAGTTTATGTTTAATTTTATACTTCTAGAATGTTTAATTTTATACTTCCTCCGTTTCAATTTATACCATTTTAGATTCCATGTGCAGTGCATTAAGAAACTAAGTAAGTTTATTATTATACCCTTATTTAATATTTTTTTGAAGTCAAGTTTTCAATCAGTGAACATGAATTAATTTGACCAATAAACATGAATTATTTACTTAGTTTTTCTATGTTGGTCAAATGTATATTTTCAAGGCTAATAACTCACAAGGGTAAAAAAAAAAGAATAGTGTCATTTATACATTGATTTTGTGAAATAACAAATATTAAGGATCGTCTATTTTTAGTTGAATTTTCTAACAATTCGTCGCTAATTCGTAGTTAAATAGGATTGAAATTTAATTTGTTGTCTAGCTATGAAATTTTGTTTGTCGTTAATTTTTTATTTTCTAGTAGTAAAGAAACTTATTTCTAAGGAAGACATTTCTTTCCTTATTTTAAAAAAAAATAAATTGTAGAGAAAATATTTTCAAAAATTTGACCGAAAATAAAAAAACTAAAAATTTTCTTCTAAAAAAAAAAGTTTTCCTCCCTATAATGATCCTTTTCAGGATTACATCAAAAGCTGTCATTGATATATATAGAGGACTGACCTTGGCATTGTGTTCACTTTGTTCCTTTGAGTATTGAAATGAAATTTATTGACAAGTTTAATGAATTATTAATATATAAAGCTAAATTATAAATTCATTTTATTTAATAATATAAATTACTATATATATCTAACTCGCACAATCACAGTTCCATTCAATTTTTTTTGTTTATAACACTAACAAAAATTCAAGTAAAGTTATATTTATTTTGTCTATCTTAAAGATGAGAAATTTTTTTTTTGAAATAATATTTTTATTTTATTCACATGATAATTTTTTTTGATCATGGTGAGATGATTCATACTTAAAAGTATAATTGTCATTTATGTCTCTAGTGAAAGATATTACATATAGTTCCAAATCATAAGTTATGTTGGTAAGTTTTCTATCTAGATTCAATTAATAATTTTTTAATAATTTTTTTTTATGAATTATAGTTAGATAAAAAATAATTTTGAAATTTAAATTTGTCAATATAGTATGTTCATAAAATTTATTAATATTTCAAAAAAGAGATAATCTGCTTAAAAATAAATTATTCCCCCTTCTTATTTGACACAAGAGAATAGTAGTATTGAGAATTAATTGGTAATTTGTCAAAATTTGCATAATTTAACTTTCAAAGAGAAAATTATGACAAGTACTTAAGAATGATGAGAGTAATAAAAATTGTATTTTACTATTTAAAAATAATAATATTGAACATTTGAAGTCTAAAATTACCAAAATGATGATTTATATAGTTAAAAACATTTTGAAAATTGTATTGAAAAAGCTAATTTGATTTCAAATTGTGAAGGTTGAATATAGGGGAGGTAAAAAATATAGTGAAGATTGAATAACAAATGAGGTGCACAAAATATGAATGAAATTGATAATAGTTAAGCATTTTAAATTTATAATAGATAATAAGATTGAAATGATATAAAGAGAACGGACTCACATGTTTTAGATATATTTAGAGGCTATTGGTGAGGAAATAAGATATGGTCAAGTACGTAGTATAATTTGTATTGCCCATTGTACAACTCTTCACAGTCATAGCCGTCCTTCCATGACTTTTCTATATAATAAAAAAATAATAGAAATGAGCTGAAAATGTTGTTTTAAAGAACATCAAAATACCAAACCATCCAATGTAAGACGATTTTTAGTACTATTAGTTTTTATTTTTATAGAACTTATTAGGGCGGAGAAAATATTTTCAAAATATTAAATATGAAAAAAAATAATTCCTCCCTATTAAATACACCCTAAACTAATGGCCCCATCGTATTGCAGGGTCACATCAAAATGTTTTCTCTAGCTAACTAATGTCCAAAACACTTTGTTTTTGCGTAATTGGCGCTACAAAGCAAATGTCATTATATATGTAATTTTATGATTAATCAATTTTCAATCATTTCCCTTAATAACTCCTCAAGTTTCTATTTTTTTTAAAAAGGAATAATGGGACACATCATTCATTAGGAGAGAAAGATGTTTTGTGACATCAAGTATATTTTGAGGAAAATATATAAAGTTAAGTGATATTATTAGGTAATTTCTTAAACATGGGTGACTATCTAGGGAAATTACTCAGTTTTCAATCAATGAACATGAATTAATTTATTTTGATTAATTAATTTGACCAATGAACATGAATTATATATTTTCTTAGTTTTTCTATGTTGGTCAAATATATATTTTTAAGGCTAATAACTCACAAGGGTAAAATAGGAAGAATAGGGACATTTATACATTGATTTTGTGAAATCACAAATATTAAAGATCATCTATTTTAGTAAGGACGACATATAAATATGAACAAGATATCATTTCATTTGATTTTTTATATATATGATAGATGTACAGAGAAAGAATATAACATTAACATGTTTTCTTTTCCTTCCAAAATGGAGAGTCAGCACTTGTCCTTCATTATCTTTATCTCAATAGTGCTCTTCCTTTACTCTTTCTTTCTTCTATCTCAAAAATGGAAGAAATCAAAATCTCCAAACAAAAAATTGCCTCCTGGACCATGGAGACTACCTTTTATTGGAAACTTGCATCAATTAATGAGCGATCTACCACATCGTTCACTTAGAAATTTATCGAAAAAATATGGCCCGATCATGCACTTACGTCTTGGGGATATTTCAACAATTGTTGTATCTTCATCAGAAATGGCAAAAGAAATCATGAAAACTCAAGACCTCTATTTTGTAGATAGGCCACAAATTATGTCCGCGAGTATCATATTTTTATGATTGCACGGACATAGCCTTGAGTCCATATGGAGATTACTGGAGAAATATGCGGAAGGTTTGTGTACTAGAACTTCTTAGTACAAAAATGGTCAAATCATTAGCTTCAATTCGACAAGAAGAGATATCAAATCTCATTTCATCTCTCAGTTACAGTACACCTGACTCATTGATCAACTTATCCAACAAGATTTTTTGGTTTACGAATACTGTAACTTGTAGGTCAGTATCTGGAAAAATCATACATGATTGAAATAAGTTTATAATGTTGGTAAAAGATATTTATTCATTAATTGGAGGATTCGACTTAACTGATTTATTCCCTTCCCAAAAGTGGCTCCATAATATCAGTGGAATGAAATCCAAATTGTCAAAGGCACACTCAAAGGTTGATGAAATCTTGGAGAAAATCGTTAATGATCATCGAGACAATCGAGCAAAGGGTAAGAAATATAATGGTGAGTCTGGAAATGAAGATTTTGTTGATGCTTTACTTAGAGTAATGGAGAGCGAAGAATTTGGACCTCCTATCACAAATCAAAACATTAAAGCAGTCATACTTGTAAGTATAGTGCATCATCAAAAGTAATTTTATTTCGTGTTATAAATCTAAACTTCGATATTTTCACCTTTAATTTTACATGTAGGACATGTTTCTAGCAGGAACTGAATCTAACAACAATAATTTGGGCATTTTTAGAACTAATGAAAAATCCACGTGTCATGGAGAAAGCACAACTCGAAGTGAGAGAACGATTAAATGGGAAAAAAACATTTAATGATACTGATTTGGAAGAGTTGAACTACTTGCAATTTGTTATCAAAGAAACATTAAGGCTACACCCTCCAGTTCCTCTACTAGTCCCAAGGGAATGTAGAGAGGAAACAAAGATCAATGGATACACAATACCTGTGAAAACCAAAGTTCTGGTTAATGCATGGTCGATTGGTAGAGATCCCAAATACTGGCATAATTCAGAAAGCTTTATACCTGAGAGATTTGAGAATAGTAGTATCGACTTTTTGGCTGAAATTAGCTAGTATGGGATTGGAAGCAGCAAATATCTAAAAAAAAGAAAAAAAAATATGACTAATGTTAACAAAATAGGTAGGAAAAAAAATGTATAAAGTTTAGCTCATCTGACAACTTATGAACAATTGAACAACACGAGTAAGATTTGTGCCTCCTAAAACTTTTGAACAACACATGCAATATTTGTCCATCTGGCAAAATTTGTGAACAGTTAAGGCATAATACATAAATATGTCATTTAACTTGATCTTATTTCATATTTACGTCCTCCAACTTTAGGTGTGCACTAGTAGACACTTAAACTTATATACAGTTGAACAAGTAAAACATGAGTCCTATGTGGTATAATACATGTAGATGTAGGACACCATGTAGGAAGCAAATTGCTACGTAGGATGTCACATAGGACGTGTGTGTCTATTTATTCAATTTTATACAACTTTAAGTGTCTACTTCTGCACATCCAAAGTTTGAAGGCATAAATATAAAATGAGGTCAAGTTAAAGGTCATATTTGTGTATTATATTTGCGACAATTTAACAAGATAGATAGAAAGGAAAAAATACAAATATACCCGCAGAACTATCGTAAATGGTATGCTTTGTTCTATTTGAGATTTGAGAAGGAAAGACATTGAGACTTGTATTTATCTTTCAATTCCGCACTTTTTTATATTAGTGGCATGTACACGTGACAGTCAGGTTATATGGTTATAATAGAATGAATAAGTTTTTCGCTCTTATGTTATACTTGTTTTACGTTTCGCATTTCTTTCGTTTCGTTGGATTGAGGCTGACATGTTTTGGTGGGAATAGACAAATGTCATCACATCCATTTTTGAGTCGTGACAATATTTTTATGCTATGATTCTAAAATTACAATTTGAATCTAATGGTTCAATCGAAACACCATTTAAAATATCAATCTTCAAACAAGCACTTGAAACTCATCTAAGACCACCCAGACACAAACTAAATATGCCAATTAACTATAAAACACATTTCGGACCTATTGAAATCATCAAATCATTGATTTGATGTCATCTTAATAGAAAGTTCACAATCAACCATAACTTTCTTAAAACTCAAAAATACAACTACGGGGTCAAATCACTCCTAAACACCTTGGGATCCGTATAAACCATCTATCGTAGTCAAAAATCACCTTTCGGATCTAATGGAATAGTAATAATTTGAATTTGAGTTCATTAACCTAGAATGTTATCTTTGATCAAATTTCTCAACTTCCAAAATAAAAAATCTTCATCTTGATGCATTCGATCATCTTGGAAATCATGTCACTCATTTTCGCAAGTTAAAAACAACATAAGAATCTACAGAAAAAATCTAATTGGAATAAAAGAACTCAAAAGAATAAAACAATAATCATACGGATCATTACCATTATTATCTTAAGGTACAAAAATTAAAAACCAATTTAAAATAATAGTAAAAGTTGAATTGACCTTTGAATACAATATCTAAGTAAATGGTTCATATCTTGCAACCCATCGTATTGAAGGCTTACATCAAATGTAGTGTCCACCAAGAAAAAACTTTGTAGTATATGTCCTACATATATATCAAATCATACTTGTACGATGTCTTTCGTTGCTTGACAAATGAATTAACTTTAATACCATCTCCGACCTATTTTTATTTTATTTTATATTCTTTATATTTGGAGAGTAAAATATAGAATGAGCTCTCCAATCACTCTCTATTTCACTCTTTATTAATAATTTATAGAGAGTTGAATAGTACTCACACTCTCTGTGTAACACCCCAGAAAAATTTTGAGCTAAGACTTGAACCGTCCTTCGTTGTGAGTAGGATTTTACTAAGAAATTTAAAATTTCTTAAGTATTAAGGTCAGGTCACTAAATGTAGCACCTTGAGTTTCAAAAAGAACTAAATTGGACATAGCAAAAATCTGAAATTTTGCAAGTTAAGCTAAGTATGAGTTTTTGAGTTGACTTCAAATGACCATAACTCCTAGCTCAGGATGAGTTAGGTGTGCTGCCAGATACCGTAGGAATGACCTTTGAATTATTTCCAACGCCACCGAGTTTGCTCAGTTTCGAGTTCGTATGAGGGAGATATGTCCATTCGAAGTTGGGCTGTCTAGATAAGGAAAGTCAAAACTGGATTTTAGAGAGGTATTTTGGTCTTTTCCTTACCAAATCAGATTTAATTCGTTTTTAGTAAGGTTTTAAGGGTCTAATATTAGTAGGTTCAGTTTTATAATCCTAAAATTAGCCTAGGGTTTTAGTTGAGAGTTCAAGAAGAGAAAAGAAGAGAAAAGAGGAGAAAAGAGGAGATGATCAAAGCGTTCGTCGAGTGTCTTGTGTTTTGTTGCGAATTTTCACCATGGGTTTAATCACTAAGAGGTATGTAAGCTTCCATAGTGTTGGGTTTGTTCACCCACACGCCAATTATGTTATTTTTAGCGTAATTTCGTTCTTAAAGTTGAAGGATTTAAGTTCTTGATGAGTTCTTGATAGGTGTTCTTGAAGTTCATTCTAAATCTTGTTGTATTGGGGTTTTGATGATTTCTTGAGATGAAATTTAGTAATTTGAGTGTTTTTTGAGTAGATTAGAGTGTAATTATGTTAAGTAATCGAATCCAAGTGATTGGGGAAGAAACTGTTCGATTCTATGCGAGTTAAGGTGAGAAAACGAGCAAAGAAAGTCGTCGAAATTTTCTGGGTTGGGGCCTGGCGTGTCACGCCAGCCAGAGCGCCCCAACCACTTCTCTGAATGTTAGGGGCTGGCGCCCCGCGTCACTCAGAGTGCCAGGGTCGCCTGCCCCCACCCGTTCATCATCGTTTCGTCCGTTTGAGTTCTTTCAAAGGGTACCTTTACTCCCCTTTGATTCTAAACCACTTCTAAACACCTAAATTCATTCCTAACATGATCATAACCTTGAATTCATAATTCAAATTCAAGGTAGAGTTAAGAGTTAAGTTTAGAGAATTCTTTCGAACATTCTAAGAAAGTCCCTTTGAGTTCTTTTGATCAGGAGTCTTCTACAACTTCTAGTAACTTGTTTCAAGACTCGAGTAAGTGAGAATGAGAGTGAGGAGAATGTATTCATGAGTGTACACTATCATCTAGATCCTTCATATCATGAACCATAACTCTTGAATTCATAATTCACATTCAAGAGAGAGTTAAAAGTAGAGTTCAAGAAAGCCTTTGAGTTCAATTGTGAATCCTTTGAGATCAACTATCAATTTGAACTAAGTTTTGAGGTGGTAAGTAAGAGAATGAGAAGTGTCGTATACATGAGTTCCATGTAGTTTCTAGACCTTCTAGTCGAGTCGTTCATGCCCATAAATTCCGCATGGACTCCATAATTGAGTATCATTGAGAGGGGTAATATATATCTACAAGTTCTAAGTCTTGAGTATTGAGTTCCCAATCCCCTTTGAGATTATATTTTCTAATCATGGCACTATTTCATGTTACCCATGAAGTCCTTGAGTTGAAGTGTTCATGCCCATAATTTCGCATGAACCCTATAAGTGTATTATACTAAATTATAATTTCACCAATAAAATTTTAAAAAATTATTCATATCTTACATATGATCCATCAATTCATAATTATAATTTTTTTTTGAAAAGGGAGTAATTTTTTTGTAAATATTACCAAAGAAATAGTAAAAGAAAAGAAGAAAACATATAAAGGATTGAGATTTGAGGAAAAACAATTAATGGTAAATTTGATTGAGTGATTTTAGAAAAAGAAAAACTCAAAGTTGAGTGATTTCTTTTATACAAAACAAAATTGAATAACTTTACAAGATAATTTTTCAAAGTTGAATGACCTTTCGAGATATTTAGAATTGATCTTTGTCTACAATATCTAACCTAATGGTGCATATCTTGCAACCCATCGTATTGCAGGCTTACATCAAAAGTATGTCCACCTAGAAATAAACTTTGTACTATATGTCCTACATATATATCAAATCATACTTGTACGATGTCTTTCGTTGCTTGGCAAATGAATCGACTTTAATATCATCTCCAACTCATCTTTATTTTACTTTCTATTCTTTATATTTGAAGAGTAAATATAGAATGAGCTCTCCAATCACCTTCTATTTCACTTTGTATTATCCATTTATAGAGATTTGAATAGTAGTCACACTCTCTGTTTCACTTTTTTATTATTCTATTATTTTGTAATTAACATATTATTTTTCATAGAAAGCCATTAAATTAAATCACTAATATTTGTAATTCTTTCGAAATGTAATATAATTTTTTTTTTAAAATGTATTATTTAATATATATACTACTTTTATCTCGAATTAATAATAATTCAAAAAAACTTAATTTTTGTCACTTTAATATGATTTGATTTATTATTAAGTTTCACTATAAGAATGCACAAAATTAAATGGTCTACAATTGTTCAAACTATTTGTGATCCACGTTCCCAAAAGAAGAAATATTTCGCGATGAAACAAGAATCGTGTCAAAAAGATGTTGAACGTGCCTTCAGAGTTTTGTAATCACGTTTTGCAATTGTTGCAGGACAGTCACGTTTTTGGAGAAAAGAAAGTGTTACATGATATAATGACTACATGTATTATATTGCTCAACATGATAATCGAGGATAACGTGATCTTAATGCACCAATTCAAGATGTCGTAGAGGCTCCAACTGCAACGACATAAATGGTATTGGATGAAAATTTCCGGTTTGAACAATTTTTATCTAGACATAAAAAATTAAGGATAAAAATGCTCATTTTGAACTCTATAATGCATTAATAGAGCATTTATGGGAGCAACATAATAATCTTGAAAGTTGAGTATTTATGTTATGTAATTGTATTTCATTTATGATTTCACTTTTATTTGAATTGCCCATTAATTTGTATATTATATAATATTTTCTTTCGATTTATATCATTTAGAAATTTAAAATAAAATATAATGTTATATTAAATTAA